AACAACTTTGAAATTTGGGTCATGTGTGCACAGTTTGAGAAGTAAAATTGAACTTTGATATCAGTTGACCTAGATTCTGACAAGTGACCTACTTTCTTTTTCTTAGATGAACAGCTTTGAAATTTGGGTCATGTGTGCACAGTTTGAGAAGTAAAATTGAACTTCGATATCAGCTGACCTAGATTTTTATGACATGACCTAGTGTCATATTAATGTGGTGGCATATAGCATTTTTTCACAAATGCAATCTTGTTTTCTTCTTTACGCCAAAAGAAATGTCATTTGAAGAAAAGCATATATACAAATATTATAAGCAGATCAGCAGCGAATAAAAACAATGATCCAACCTTTTTTTTTTCAGCTCTGTTTTGCATACAAAGGGTTTTTCTTGAACATCATCGGTGTTAAGTATGTAATCTTATCAAGTAATAGGCTCAAATCAAAGGAGTTAAAGTACAAATTCCAGACAGATTCAACAAAAGGGTATGTCTTTTTTTAAACATGAATACAATCTTGTGATGTTACAAGCTCACATTTTTTTATACGTATTTCATACCATTGCACAATCTGCAAGGTTATGATGCTTTTTGATGTTACCCTGTTATAATGATCATCTTTGGATTCTTTCAATTGTGAGGAAGCTATCCAGCTAGCTTACGGAACGCGGTGGTTCTACTCAGGTGCCCGTTCATGCCTGAAATAATGCACAGAAGGGCACCTGAGGTCTTCCTCCACCAGTAAAGCTGGAACATCTTGATATGACTGTGTCGATGTGACGTAAAACCCAAACAAAACAAAAACAAACAAATGTAAAATCATATGGTTGCCATGGCAACTAATAGACTAAAAATATGGCAAATATAACCTTATAGTCATAACTCAAATAGTACTGAAATTGAAAATACGAGGGGCATTTATAAAGTATTTATGAGTGTGGCACTTAAGTCGTAGATGTAATATTTCTACGGAAATTGAAAGACCAACCCTTCAAAGTATTCCCCTTCGACTTGGATGCACTTTCCCAAGTGCCAAATCCAATCGGAAAATGCTTTTTGGTAGGCCTCTTTGGATAAAGTGTTTAGACATTGGAAAAGCGCGCTGCCAATGGCATGCCGAGATTCAGAACAGTGACGTCTCATGTAGTTCTTGATGTAAAGATTCAACCAAAAATAGCATGGAGCAAGATCTGGGCTGTATGCAGGGTGTGGTAAAGTCTCAATGCTATTGTCGCTAAAATACTACTTTACCACCACTGACTAGTGGGCAGGTGCGTTGTCATGCAGGAGTTTGATTCTGCGTACGCCGGTACGGGGACGGGCTGTAGTATAGTGACTAACAACAGCAGAGAGAAATGAATCTCGATAAAAGATTCCAGTAATACTCCTACCTTCTGGTATAGGAATTTGAGCCACTATTTCTGGCAATCAAAAAATAATGCATACATCATGCGTTCTTTTGAGGTGCAACCTCTATGACCAATTTGTGGCCATTTTTGTCATTTTTACTGACCCACACCTTATTTTTATGCTCCCCGAAAAATTTCGGGGGAGCATATAGTCGTCGGGTTGTCCGTCCATCCGTCTGTCCGTCCGTCCATCCGTCAGTCCGTACGTACGTCCCGAATTCGTGTCCGGCCCATAACTTTGTTATTTGAAGTCGGATTTTAAAATTATTTCACAGAAATGATCACCATATTGAGACGACGTGTCGCGCGCAACATTTGGGTCGCTACCTTGAAGGTCAAGGTCACAGCATGACCTTGCAGCAAAATCGTGTCCGGTCCATAACTTTGTTATTTGAAGTCGGATTTAAAAAATATTCCACAGAAATGATCACCATATTGAGAGGATGTGTCGCGTGCAACATGTGGGTCGCTTCCTTGAAGGTCAAGGTCACAGCATGACCTTGCAGCAAAATCGTGTCCGGCCCATAACTTCCCTATTTGAAGTTAGATTTAAAAAGTATTTCACAGAAATGATCATCATATTTAGATGACGTGTCATGCACAACATTTAAGTCGCTACCTTGAAGGTCAAGGTCACAGCATGACCTTGCAGCAAAATCGTGTCCGGCCCATAACTTCCTTATTTGAAGTCAGATTTTTAAACTATTTCACAGAAATGATGACCATATTAAAATGGCGTGTCATGCGCAACATTTGGCTCGCTACCTTGAAGGTCAAGGTCACAGCATGACCTTGAAGCAAAATTGTGTCCGGCACATAACTTCATTATTTGAAATTGGATTTTACAACTATTTCACAGAAATGATCACCACAATGAGACATTGTGTCGCGCGCAACATTTGGGTCGCTACCTTGAAGGTCAAGGTCACAGTATGACCTTTCAGCAAAATCGTGTCCGGCCCATAACTTTGTTACTGGAAGTCGGATTTAACAACTATTTCATAGAGATGATCACCATATTGAATCGACGTGTCGCATGCAACATTTAGGTCACTACGTTAAAGGTCAAGGTCACAGCATGACCTTGCAGCAAAATAATGTCAGGCGCATAACTTTGTTATTTGAAATCGGATTTTACAACTATTTCACAAAAATGATCACCATATTTAGACAATGTGTCGTGCACAATATTTGGGTTGTTTTTACACTTTGAACTTTGTCTGTGACATAACTCTGACACAACAAAAGGTATACCTTCCTGTGTCCAAAACCTATTCGGGGAGCATCACCCGGTTCAACCGGCTCTTGTTTTCTTTACCATCAGGCTCATATAAATAGACCCATGTTTCATCACCAGTCACAATTTCATTCATACGGTTTTGGTCAGCCTTTTTGTACCTGTCGAGCAGCTGTGACGCAATTCGCACGCGCTCCCGTTTTTGGTCCTCATTGAGAAAGTGAGGTATCCACTGGGCAAAAACTTGCGTAACGTTAACACGTGAGTCAATATTTGAAAAACCTATGGCGAATAAATGCCACATAAATCACCTATCTCCTCCACTGTACAGCTGGCATCATCTTAAACAGCTTTTTTAACAGCAGCAATATTTTCGTCAGTCATTGCTGTGACTGGACAACCAGGACAGGTCTCATCTTTTTTAGTCTCTCTACAGGAGGTAAAAAGTCAAACCTGTTTTCTAACTGTTGAATACGCTAGGGCACTATCCACATAAACATTGTCTAAGTCTGATTTAATATTAGGTGCAGCAACACCAAGCAATGTGCGAATTTTACAATACTGCACACTTTGCTTGTCTTGAAAATTGTTCTCTTTTTCTGCCATTTTCAACTGCAGTGTACCTGACCGTAGTTTATTCAAGTGAACATTTCGCTCACTGCGTAGGTATTTCACGGTTTCCTCATGCATATAATTGTAGAGGACAGTCTTACATTTCCATACATGTATAATATGTACCAATTACGCTCTAATTAACAGTAAAAATTCACACTGATAAATACTTTTTTAATGCCCCTCGTACATTTATGAAACTTGAAATTTTTAATAGATGACTGTATGAAGACTATTCACATCAATTTGTGCTCAACTTTATGGAGTAAAGAGAAAGCTGTCCTACTCACCCAGCTTTGGCAACTCACAGAGTCCAGATTTCTGATTAAAGTTTTACGCAGTAAAATCGTTTTCACTGTGACTCACTTCCTTATTTCATAAGGTATTAACTTCAAACTTCAAATATATCGAGGGCTTGGTGCGAAAGGGTTGTAACTCATATAAGATAAAGAAGGAAGGAGTTACAACCTGTTCGCACCAAGCTGTGGATATGTTTCAGATCATCAACCATATCATATGTGACAAGGTTAACAGCTACAGCACTAAAATAAATAGAATTACATCCCCCCTACACTTAAACAATTTTTGTGTTGTCTTGAAAAAGGGGACATATAGGGGTTACTTTTGTTGTTGATGTCGGCGGCATCCGCGTCCCCTTAAGCTTGTCCGGAGCATAAGTCAGTCATTATAAGGCTGATTGACTTCAAACTTGGTATGCATGCTTCTTATAATGACCCAAAGTGCAGTGCACAAGAACTGGTACTCTGCACTTCTTATTTTTTGAGTTATTGCCCTTTGTTAATTTTCATACTTTATTTTTTTCGGGGCCATTTCTCATAATTATAAAAGCTATGGACTTGAAACTTCATAGGATGATAAATCTCATTGATATAAAGTGCAGTGTTCAAAAACCGCTACTCTGTACTTTTATGATCCTTTGTTAATAATCTTATTACTTAATAGGCTTGTCCAGAGTATAACTTGATCATTATAAGTTTGATCGACTCCAAATTTGGTATGTAAGCTTTTTTCATTGACCTGAAGTGCAATGCTTAAGAATCCATCACAGAGTCCTCCATTTGATGTGTCAGTGTAAAACTTTTTTCGTGGTATTTTTATTTTTCATAATATAACAGTTTTATAAATCCTGATGAAAAATTGTAACAATCAGTTCAAATGCCACTAAAATTACAGGTACATGTACATTGTAAGAGCGGTGTTTTACTTTATAATATCTAAGATGAAAATGGCTAAATGACAGCTACATGTAAATAGTTTCTACTTTACACTTAAGATAATTGTTCTTAAAATGTCACCACTCACATCATGTATGACATCTGTTGTATGAACATAACTTCATTACTAGGCAAAGAAACTTAACATGTTACTATAAAACAGACAAATTATAATTAGAACTGAAAGAGTTTAGTTCATTCATGTCTTCCACAATGACATAATTAAATGGTCATGCCACGACAAAACCAACATAATGGGTTTGCGACCAGAATGGATCCAGACCAGCCTGCGCATCTGCGCAGACTGATCAGATCCCTGCTTTTCGCTTATAAACCCTATATAACAAGTAGAGAAACTGTTAGTGAACAGCATGGATCCTGATCAGACTGCACGGATGCACAGGCTGGTCTGGATCCATTCTGGATGCAAACCCATTATGTTGGTTTTGTCATGACTCGGCTCAATTGGTCACGGCCCTTCAAAATGTTCCTGACATAATTCATGTAGGGTTCTAACCATTAGTTGACATTTGTTTTGCTGGCAATACTTTGATAATTGCTTGTTCTTCATATTAGCTTTCTCTACATGTTTGTTTTGCTATTTCAAGAAACATTTAAGGATTTCAGTTATCATTTGTTAATATACTGTGATTAGAAGTTTTATTCTATTTCGCTTTAGAATAACTACGGTATTAAATGTTATATGTCCTGGGCATGCGCCAATCAGTGTCCTTGCACTTCCGCAAGTAGTAAAACATAGTTTTACAAGTTGAGAATTAATTTATCTTTTTTGTGATTAAACGACTTGAGCGAACAAAGTTCGTTAATTTAAACTTTACTAAACAGTAGCCGTAATTGTTATCGTACGTGGTACGAACATTATTTATTGTTTTTGGTGTTATATCGAAGGATATTGGAACTTGAAAATTGCCACACGTGGTGGGGTAATAAAATTACATAATGGCGGATGGCCAAACTAAAAATCAAAAAGACATCGATAATGTCACTAGTGGTAAAGGAAAATCTAGTTAAACCTCAAGTTCAAGGGGAAAGCAGACAGCTCGTAATTTGGCGGAGGATTTACCCACAACTTCGAAAACTAGTGAAAAGTCGAGTGCTAAAATTGTCGACAAAAATGACGAGATTTTGAATATCTTGAAATCGCTTCGAGCTGAGCAAAAAAAAACAAACAGTAAGTTAGAAGCTTGTGAAAACAGACTCAAACAATTAGAAAATGTAGATTATAGTTATGATTATGATGCATATCAATATGAGCCTGACATGTATGTTGACGAAGAGGCTAGTGCCTCGGAAATATGTCCCCCAGTCACTAGAAAAAGAAAAATTGACGATAGCTGTTAAAAGTGAAAGTTCTGAAGGGTCTAGTCGTTTTGTGAGATTGTCAAAAAGGTTTAAAACAACCGAGGTGTGTGGGTCAGACATAGGTCAATTTTTAGCAGACAATGTAAATCATCTGTTCAGGCAGGGAATGGAGGAAGATCAGTATTCTGCTATGATCAAGGATGAAGAAAATCCTCGTCCAGGAAATTGTGACAGTCTTGTTACTGTAAAATTAAATCAGTTAGTCTGGGACATAGTGTCCCCAACTTGACATTCTAGGGACAAGAAGATGCAAAATATGGAAACAACTGTTATTAAAGCAGCTTGTGTCTTGATTAAAACAGTGGACAAGGCAGCGAAGTTGGAAACTGAGGTCAAACAGGCAGGTGGTGATATAGGGTCAGTGATAGATGGATGTAATGATACGCTGGCCTTTTTAGGACATGCTAATCGTCAGATACGTAGGGACCTTTTGAAGCCCGAAATGAGAAATGAGTACAATCATCTGTGTACCCATTCTCTACCATATACAAGTCAACCTTTTGGTGACAATGTGTCGAAAACCGCTAAAGAGATAGAGGAGTGCTCAAGAATTTGGCACAAGCTTCAGTATGGACCTGTTAGAGGCAGTTTTAGGGGTAGACCTGGTTTCCGACCAAGACTACGAGGAACTTTCAGTCATACTGCTGTACGTGGTATCAACAGTCATCAAAAAACCTCCAGCGCCGAGGGGGAGTCAGGAAATTTTAAATTTAAAGGTGAGTGAACTTTTTGTTGCTGGTCGACTTAAACCTTTTGTGTTAGAATGGAAAAAAATTACTAATGACCCAGTTATTTTAGATATTGTGCAGAACTGTCATATCAAGTTTATACATGACTGTCCACCTAGACAAGAGCAGATTTATAGGCAATGTTTCAATACTAAAGAATCTCAGATAATTGATTAAGAAATTGAAAAATTATGTAAATTAAAGGTTGTAGTACCAGTTGAATGGGTTGAAAATCAGTTTATATCACCTATATTTTTACGACCAAAGAAAAATAATGAATATAGAATGATACTCAATTTAAAAAAAATTAAACGAATATGTCCCATATCACCATTTTAAAATGAATATTTTTGAAACAGCTCTTATTTTAATTAGGAAAGATATGTTTATGTGTACTTTCGATATAAGGCACGCATATTATTCTGTCCCAGTGGCAGAGAAAAGTCAGGTCTTCTTAAGATTTCAATGTATATTGTATATTGAACGCGTAAATTGTTCTTGGAAGCCAGATCCATGTGCTTCTTACATTGTTGCTTTGACTGTAAATTGGGGAAAATTCTCATGTTCGTATATGTTTCCTCCTTTCAGTATTTTAGAGTCGCTGGATTCGGAAAGTATACAAATAGACAGGGCCAGAGCCATTATGTAGCGCCATTATGGCCAACACAGACTTGGTTTGCTCAACTGATGCGAGTACTAGTGGATTCACTAATAATTCTTCCAAAGACAAAGCAGTCACTGATTGCTCCTCTGCAGGGAACAGAACACCCTATGTCACAGAAACTGGTTTTAATTGCATGTCTAGTGTCAGGAGAACATACAGAGAATGCGGTTTTTCTGAGCAAGTGACAAGTATGATCATGTCATCATGGAGAAGTGCCACAAAACGCAAGTATCAGGTCTATATGGGTATCGCGATGGATACACATCTGTAATAGACAGAAAATGAATTCAGTTTCGGTTGATCTCCAAGATGTAATAGAGTTTCTAACATCTGAATTTAACAAAGGACTAAGTTATAGCTCTATAAATACTGCAAGGGCTGCTTTGTCTTCGTTAGGAATTATGTTGGGTTCATTTACAGCAGGTATACATCTCATGGTCATTAGATTTATGAAAGGAGTTTTCAATCCACGGCCCTCAATGCCAAAAAACAATACCATATGGAATGTGGATAAAGTACTTTTGTTTCTGAAACAGTTTTCACCTGTAAAACATTTATCATTGAAGGAACTTACTTTAAAGCTGACCATGCTAATTGTTCTTACCAATGCAGCCAGAGTACAGACAGTACATTTGCTTAGTGTAAATAAGTTACAGAAGTTGCGTTCAGAATTTATTTTGCAGTTCAAAGGTTTGTTAAAACAAAGCCGGCCTGGCTTTGATTGTTCCGAGTTACATTTGAAAGCATATCCTCCAGATAGGAGACTTTGTGTTTTTACTGTTTTAAAAGAATATTTGTCAAGAACAAAGACATTGAGACAAAATAATGAAGATGCTCTTTTGATTAGTTATATCAAAAAACCATTTAAACCTGCTTCTAGTAACACCATTTCTAGATGGGTAAAAACTGTTATGATATGTGCAGGAATTTGTGAAATGTTTGGTGCACATAGTGCCAGATCTGCTGCAGTTAGTAAAGGAAATTTAAATTGAGTTCCTATACAAGAGGTCATGAAAAAGGCTGGATGGTCTAATCAGAGTACGTTTGCAAAGTTTTACAACAAGAAGGTATTACAACAGGGAGAATTTGAGAATAAAGTTCTGAAGTGTTAAGGTATGTGTTTTGGGCATTATTTTGCTTTAAAATCTCATTTAATACCGTAGTTATTCTAAAGCGAAATAGAATTGAAAAATTAAACGAGACTTACCTTTGTTAAGTCGATGTTTGATTGTAATTCTATGAGGTTATAGAATTACGAGGGATAAAATGCCTCCCTCCCTCCCATCTTTGAGAAATACCAGGTTATGAACATATTCTATAGAATTTACAGATATTCAAATCATATTGTTAAAAATAATCCCCAAAACCGTTCAAGACTGATTGGCGCATGCGCGGGACACATCTCATTTAATCCCTCGTAATTCTATAACCTCATAGAATTACAATCAAACATCACCTTAACCATGGTAAGTCTTGTTTAATTTTTTAATTGAATGAAAAATATTGATTTAGGGAAGTATATATAATTTATAACATTAACAAAAAGCATTTTGAAATTTTTCGAGCAAATATCATTATTTGTCATTAATGAAGTTTGTAAAGATTTTCCTTTTCTGTAATAAAGATCAAATAGGTGGTACTACACATGTATTGACATTTATGCCATGATTGTTGCTACCGTAAGCAGAGATGAAGGTGAATATCGTCTAATTGAGGCATGGGTTAAACAAGCTAGCCGTGAGGATATCTTTATAGACTCTCTTTTCATTGGGCGTGGCCCAACAACTGATGATTCAGGTAAATAAAATAATATAAATATACTTACCTGGTATTTGATGTGAATTTTTTGTGGCTTTGGGGGATGGGGGGTTGAATGGTAGGGAAATTATATCATTAAAAGGATTTTTTTGTGGTCATGGGGAGGGGGAATTGGATGGTAGGGAAATTATCATTAAAAGGCTTGAAAAAATGTTTGACATAAAAAACAAAACTCAGCCTTTTTATGCCTCAAAAAATGAAATTTTGGTTTTATGTCGCCGTAATTGCAGAGTTAACATATTCTTTAATTGATTTAAACCTACTTTTTGTCTCCTACCGGTTTAACCGGAGGGGACTTTAGGTTTACCCTCCGTCCGTCTGTCAGTCCGTCAGTCCACAAAACTGGATCCTGAGATAACACAAAAAGTACTGAAAATATTTTTATGAAACTTGATATATAGATAGATGGCAGTATGGAGATTATGCACGTTTTTTTCTTTTCTTCCTATGTTGAAAATTCTGGTTGCTATGGCAACAAATAGTCTGAAAATATGGCAAATTTAACACATAAACTGGATCCAGTGATAACTCAAAAAGTACTGAAAATATTTTTATGAAACTTGAAATATGGATAGACAGCAGTCTGCAGATTATGCACATCTTTTTCTTTTCTTCCTATGTTAAAAATTCTGGTTGCTATGGCAACAAATAGCCTGAATTTCAAGATTTCTGATTTATATTTTTCAGCTTTTTCACTATAAGTTCTTTATTTCTTAAGGTGTTTACTTCAAACTTTAAATATAAGTTTTTGGTCATCAACCACAGTATATGTGACAAGGTTTACAACTCTAGCACAAAAATTATCAGAATTACCTCCCTTGAACTTAGATTTTTTTATGGAAAAAAAACGTCTTTTTTAAATAACTTCTTTATTTCCTAATGTATCTACTTCAAACTTTATATATATGTTTCTTATTATCACTCAACATTTTTGAGAAGGTTAAATACTCTAGCAAGACTATTTCCAGAATTATGTCCCCCTTGAACTTTTTTCGAGAAATTGGTATTTTTTACTCCCAACTTCTTCATTCCTTATAGGATTTACTTTAAAATCCCACATCGTAATAATATGACAAGGTTGTATAAACATAATTTCCTTACTAGGCAGGGAAACTTAACACATTACTGTGAAATAGACAAACTTCCCAGCAAACAATAGACGTTGTACCAACGTTGTACTGACATTTGACCCTGACGTTGGGTGAACGTTGGCAGAAGGTTGGATTTGAAAGTTTTTTAGACGTCAGAATCCGACGTCTATACAACGTCATAAAATGACCCTTATCTTACCTTATCTTACCATAATCCAACCTTTTCTGACCATTATCTGACCATAATCCAACCTTTTCTGACCATTATCCAACCTTTCCTGACCATTATCTGACCATAATCCAACCTTATCTGACCATGATTTCACCTCATTTCAAACTTTTTGGAATATGATTTTTTTCATTTTAAGCTCATTAGTAGGGTAAACGAATAAGCATTCTTATAATTTTAACAATTTAATAGCTATACGAATCACATGTACAAAACAAAAAATGCGGTACTATAACAAATGTAACATTAACATAATGTATTATGAAACTATTAAACTTGACAGTATGTACGTAAATAACGCTTCATATATTAAATAATCATGTTTTAGATATACAAAATTCTTCATAAACATTAACACTGACATTTTTGATGGTTAACATTCATGCATGTTTTTCTTATATCACCAAGGCTTATTCCCGACTGAACCGATCACCCTGAGGTTAGGATTCTCCAATCATCTATCCAACTCACTGATTGTATATTTTTCTTTGTACTTTTTATCTGAATGTTAAATGGAACAATATTGTGATCATTTTGATATTACTATAAATAGCAATGTTCATGTATCTTAATTAGCATTCTTCTTTCGTCCACCTCCACTATGGTGATCTTGGGCATACTTTAAAGTTTAAGCATATCATAATCTGAACCTTTACTGTCTCCAACCTAAGATATCATCATTCACACTATCTGAAATTTAAAAATAAATCAAATAATCACTTACAATTGCAAGAAATAAATCACTTTTACATATTACAAATAAATGAAATTCTGACAAAACTCTCCAAACACTTTAACAAAAGAGGCTTATTTTTTTTTACTTTAGTTTGAGCCATGTAGTTTCATGTACCTATATATCATTTGATTTTGATAAAAATGACTTCGTGATCAATGTAATATTTTGAAATATACCTGTCACAAAATCTTGTGTGTTTTTCTTCTTTTCCTCTTAATAATTTCATCTTCCTCCTCTGAACTTTCGACAGTTGTTGAATTATCATAATTTTCACAATCTCTGATATTCACTGAAAGACAAAACAATATTATGATTATCAAAGCACGTTTACGAAAAAAAACCTGATAAGTATTTTCATTAAGTATGACCTGAAAATTTAGTAAGAAATAACGATTTTTGCCTGCGCAAAATTTAATATGAAAATGATATTTTTTATATTTATTATAATATATGTAAATACTACAACATCAAAGAAATTCACATGTTACTGTCATTTTCTGTACGAAATCTGCTGTGGTCATAGTATTATTTTTACAATAGGTTTATCTCTTAGATTTGGTTCGCTAAATTGCTAATCAATGGTCATGCAACTACATAGTTAGGTGAAGAAGCAGGCGCTTGTTTTGGTTGAGTCTATTATGTTTTGTTTAGGGGGTTGAGTTGTCATACACAAATTTACAATTTATATGCATTTTTTTTTTCCAATGATTGTTATTATCTTAAATGCTTCTGGGATTGTTGTTTTATCAATTCATTTGTAAATAAGATTGTTATATTTCTATTAACGGAATAATTTTAATGAACACGAAATTAGTTCACACCTACATGTGTATTGGTATTAACGTGATGGTTTAAGCCAATGAAAACACGTCAATATTATTATACTCAGGCAGAGAAAAAGTGTGCAAAGAGTAAATCGATAATCTTTATGTAGCCAGCAAACTTTGAATTGCAAGTATTTTTTCATATCTTTTCGGCAGGATAAACTGTCTGAGGATTCGTATCGTAAAATGGCTGCCATTTACAGTATCAAGTGATTATCCCAAGCACCACCGCGACTTAGCGCGGGAATTTTAATTATAGCTAACCTCTGCGCGTATACCTTTTTCATATTTTTTTGTAATAAATATTTACAAACTGTCTTTCGGTTTTTTTTTTTATCAATATATAGCCAATAATGATGTTAATATGAATAAATAATCATATCTCAAATCTTTGACTATGATTTACAATGAAATTCTACCTTTAGTGTATTAAAAAGGTTTTTAATTTCCTGTAATTTTATTTTGTGATTATGCTTCAAAGCAGTCAATTGACCGTGAATTTTCTTTTCATATTTTGATTTCCTTGAAATCATTTTTCTCATCTGAAGGCATGCAACTTTAATATGGTGATACATTAATTACATTCCATGAAAATGTTTAAAGATATAAAATATCTCATGACATGTTTGTTTATTTTACATTACACCTTTAATTCAGCAAACATAAAGTCTTCACAAAAAGTAGTATGCAATCGTACCTATATTACATACGAATGTATGTAATATTTTTCTTGTTATATATATAATCTCTGCCCAGCATGATCCGATCTGCTAAGAGTATAAAGGACAGACTGGCTGAGGGTACAAACGTTTTATGATATGAGCATATAACTTGTTTCACTACATTTGAAAAGCAGGCTTATTAACAAACTATTATTTTTGTGCCCCCACGTTAGTGGCGGGCATTTAGATCTACCCTTGTCCGTCCATCCGTCCGTCCGTCCATCCATCCGTTCACTTTTGTGTCGCACGTAACTCAAAAAGTATTTGACCTAGAGTCATGAAACTTTACAGGAATGTTGATCAGCATGTGTAGTTGTGCACCTGGATATTTTCGTTTGGATATTTTTAGTATTTTCAGAGTTATTGCCCTTGACTTAGTTAAATTTTGCAATTTTCAACTTGTGTCCAAGTAACTCAAAAAGTATTTGACCTAGAGTCATGAAACTTTACAGGAATGTTGATCAGCATGTGTAGTTGTGCACCTGGGTATTTTTGTCTGTCTCGATATTTTTAGTATTTTCAGAGTTATTGCCCTTGACTTAGTAAAATTTTGCAATTTTCAACTTGTGTCGCATGTAACTCAAAAAGTATTTGACCTAGAGTCATGAAACTTTACAGGAATGTTGATCAGCCTGTGTAGTTGTGCACCTGGGTATTTTCGTTTGGATATTTTTAGTATTTTCAGAGTTATTGCCCTTGACTTAGTAAAATTTTGCAATTTTCAACTTGTGTCGCACGTAACTCAAAAAGTATTTGACCTAGAGTCATGAAACTTTACAGGAATGTTGATCAGCATGTGAAGTTGTGCACCTGGGTATTTTCGTGTGGATATTCTTAGTTTTTTCAAAGTAATTGCCCTTGACTTAGTTAAATTTTGCAATTTTCAACTTGTGTCGCATGTAACTCAAAAAGTATTTGACCTAGAGTCATGAAACTTTACAGGAATGTTGATCAGCCTGTGTAGTTGTGCACCTGGGTATTTTTGTCTCGATATTTTTAGTATTTTCAGAGTTATTGCCCTTGACTTAGTAAAATTTTGCAATTTTCAACTTGTGTCGCATGTAACTCAAAAAGTATTTGACCTAGAGTCATGAAACTTTACAGGAATGTTGATCAGCATGTGTAGTTTTGCACCTGGGTATTTTTGTCTGTCTCGATATTTTTAGTATTTTCAGAGTTATTGCCCTTGAGTTAGTAAAATTTTGCAATTTTCAACATGTGTCGCACGTAACTCAAAAAGTATTTGACCTAGAGTCATGTAACTTTACAGGAATATTGATCAGCATGTGCAGTTGTGCACCAGGTATTTTCGTCTGGATTTATTTAGTATTTTTAGAGTTATTGCCCTTCACTTAGAAAATTTTTGCAATTTTTCAACTTGTGTCGCAAGTTTCTCAAAAAGGATTTGACATAGTCATTAAACCTTATGGGCAGGTTGCTCAGCATATTTTAGATTTGCACCTGGGGTTTTGCTTGTGGATTTATCCAGTATTTGTAGAGTTATTTCCCTTGACTTAGTAAAAAGATTGACAGAACAGTGGCGCGGTGGGGGCACCTGTGTCCTATGGAAACATTTCTAGTTATTGATTTATAACCTTGATAATGTGTTTACTGACTGATACTATGTTGTCTTATTACTAAGGGTGTAACGGTTTACTGGTATACCGATATATTGCAATATGAAAAAATAAATTTCGTACCGCTGTACCATTTTTGGAAAACCGGTATTTTATAAAAATCATAATTTTCAATTAATTGCCTTCTAATTTTGTACAAATTTCACATAAAATCTTTAATTGGCGAATTTTGTTGGCGCCAACGAAAGATAAAAGTATCCGACAACTAGTACACTTAAAAGTCAATAAGCGGTCGCATAATTTACATAAGCAGCTCAGATGTGAAAGGTCACACGCGACTAGTTTTGTTTATCAAATTGTGTGACACTTTACTTTATATTTACTCCTTACATTTTTATTAAGTTTCTACTAAAAATATATACATATAATAATAATATATAAATGTTACTCCATCTTTACATCAAAAGATATACACGACAATACGTATTGCAATATATTGCAATACGCTTCAGCAAAATGGCAATATATTGCAATACGGTTTTTGCTGTATTGTTACACCCCTACTTATTACATTAATGAAAAGATAAGTAGTCGAAAACAATGTGGTTTCAGATATATCTTACCAAAGATGTATCATTTACATGTATAAAATGCCAATAATCATTATCATAATATAAGAAACATGTGGTATGCTCATGGGTAAAATACTTCAATTTTACAACCTGTAGTTAAACAACTACACAGGCATCAAAATCAAACTGTGCTTGAGACCCTACAGTTATCTGATACATGTGTAAATGAATGGCCCCTCATATAAGGGAAATCCATGTTGATAAGAAATAAGAGGAAATTTTATATATGCCAGCATTTGAATAATGGAGTCTAATTAACATACTGCATTTAACCTTTTATTGATTTCAATTGCTAGTATATTTTATACCATTGATTTTGCAAAAAAATAATTTGGCAATGGCGATATAGTGTGGGAAAAATAATCCGATATAAAGCAAATAATAAAGTGCTCTAACGAGGAAACGAAAATATTTATCTCGCGAAATCATGTGACTTTAAGTTTTACCAGTCAAACTTTACAATGATCAATTAACCGTCGAATCCATGCAAACATGCGGTAAATAAGCATTAAAAACAATATATAATGTTTGCCTACCTTTTTCTATGTGTTTGGAATATACAAGCTTGTCTGTCAACCCGTCGTTTTTGTCCGCCAATACAATTGAGGTCAGACACTCATATTGATATTTCCATAGACTTACATTATAAGATATGGTCCCTTATCCTACCTTAAAATTGAGTTTTCATGCTAAAGAGGTATTTTTTCAAGCAGAATGAAATGCCTGACACATAAAAATGTTCCTGTTATATAGGGGTAGCCAACCAAATTTTTTTGCAAAATTACTTCAAAGAGGATTACCCCCCCCCCCCATGAAATTTCTCTGATCACAGGACTGACATTTCATTGAAATTTTTATTTCAGAAAACAATGTAGTGTTACTTTTTAAATTAGTTTTTATACTTAAAAATACCCCACTTTCATCCAATCACCTCATGTATAAATTGAATCATACGGTTTTCCCTGCACTTTTTTTCAGCCAATCGCTGGCCGTGTTACAATGCGATACCCTGACCTTGAATTTCAAATCCGATAAGACTCCAATTCGAATTTACTATATTATTTACCACTATAAAATGAAGCCCACAAAAATGATTACATTTTCATTGTTAATTATTTAAACACTTCTTTGACTTAAATTCGAGGAGATAAGTTATTATTAAAAAGAAAATAGAGCAAATATATACTATCCGTTTACCAAGCGCCACATTGTTGTTGTTTTGATTAGGCAAATAAATGTTTAATGTTCCCTTTCTAAAGAAACTTAAAATTCTCACTGTTTATGCTTATATTTATATATATTGGTTTTATAAATTAAATTTACCAATTGTCAGATTACCGACCAAAATGCGACGTCGAGTCGACGTCAAAATGAAACGTTTGTTAGACGTCGGGGTTTCAACGTTGGTTTGACGTTGTGTGAAGGTCGCCGAAGTCGCGACCAATTTTCAACGTTGTGTCAACGTCAGGTGTTTGCTGGGTTAGAACTCAAAAGATTCAAAAGTTCATTTGTGTCATTTATTCACTGGTAAAATTGAAATTAGAATGTTGCTGGGGTTCTAACCGGTAGGGGACTTATGGATTGCTTGCAATACTATGATAATTGCTTGTTCTTTTATAAATACCTATATGTGTTTTAATACAAACATAAACAGTTTTCTATGAATAGTGTTAGATGTACATGCAAGTAAAATTTTAAGTTATCTTGCAAATGTTAATATAGAGATTCATATATACACATACTGGTAAATGTAAAAATTTCAGTTGTTTTGATTTGCTTTATATTTTAGAGGCATATTTACAAAGATTGAAACCAGCTTTGCCAAGAGTCAATATCAGACACATGAATCCTTTTACTTTTGTGGATTATGTATCAGTTCTTACAGTATCTGCTGACACATATGAAATAAAACTTACACCATTTGAAACGGGCTTCAACTTCACGCTCTTTGAACTTGCAAATGGAGGAGTGAGTATGAAACATTATTATTGTCATAAAAACAACGTAAAGATGAATACAAAATTAAAACTTTACTGACCTAGCTAGCTGGTTTAGATTAAGAAGTAAAGTTAAAACATTATTTGGTTAAAGTAATTTTTGTCATTTCAATGTTGGGGCTTCCATGTATAATAAACTAATATTTGCATAAACACCAATTTGCCATTTTGTAGCTGAAAAATTCAATGATAAATATGATATAGTTTATCATTCAAGACATTTGTTATTCTGTTCTCAATTAATGTAAAATAAAATGATATCTTCTGTTTAATCCATTACAATGACTTGATGAGCATTTTGTGAAAAATGGCTGTTTTTATTGAAAAGCCTCCTGTTACAAGTTCAAATTGCTGTGAAATTATCAGAAAGACTTCAATACTGTTCAAACGTGGCACAAATGTTGACTGGACCAACACCTAAAATTTCCTGTTACCATGGCAATGGGGGACACCTCAGAATTGCCAAAAATCACTATTTGTGTTAATTTTTCATCAAAACTGATATCAAGGTGCTGCAACTTCTCTTAACCCTTTCCCTCATGAGCATATTGTGAAAAATGGCCGTTTTCACTGAAAAGCCTCCTGTTACAAGTTCAAACTGCTATGAAACTATGAAAAATCCTTCAATACTAATCAAACTTGGCACAAATGTTGACTAGACCATTGCCTTTGTAACGACATGCTCAGTCTTACATTTCCTGTTACCATGGCAACGAGGGGACATCTCAAAATTGCCAAAAATCACTATTTGGCCTCGATTTTTTCCATCAAAATTTATTTCAAAGTGCTGCAACTTCTCAAGGATTTGAGATAGAGTCAAAGGCTTTTCAGCGTTGGTTAAACGTTACATTATGATCGACCTGGGTCATTTTTAGCCTCTCACAAGTCCAAAATTTTCTTGGCGATGACGGGGAATCCGCCCCCCTTCAAACCCCCCAAACAGAAGGGGGCACATCCCCCCCCTTCTGGCAACCCCCTGATGTATCTTTTGGATGGGGGGCGGTGCCGAAAAAGTGCTCAATTTTTTTAGCATTTTAGCAACATTTCTCAAACGAAAACATGTGTTTGGGGCCCAAATAGGACATTTTTTCACTATTTGAGGCCTAAAAAAGGAGGGGGGGGGGGGGGGTCGAAAGTGCTTTGTTTCGCATATATATGTGGTAAAGGGTTAACAAAAAATGATGAAAAACTTTGGAATCACCTAAAAACTAGTTTTTCCACTTTCACCTAATTTTGGTGAAAAATTGTTGTTTTGTAACATTTTTAATTTTTAGCTCACCTGAGCATATGCTCAGGGTGAGCTATTAGGATCACTCTTCGTCCGTCGTCTGTCGTACGTCGTCCGTTGTCCGTTCACACTTTTCAAACGACATCTCCTCTAAAACCATAAGGCAGATCATAATGAAACTTCACAGGGATGTTCCTTGTGTGAAGCCTTAACAAAGTTGTTCAAAGAATTCCATTCCATGCAGAACTCTGGTTGCCATGGCAACCAAAAGAAAAAACTTTAAACATCTTCTTCTAAAAAACCCAAAGAGCTAGAGCTTAGATATTTGGCATGAAACATCTTCTAGTGAATGTCTACCAAGATTGTTCAAATAAAATCCCTGGGGTCAAAATTGGCCCCCCCAGGGGGTCATTGATTTTCCCAATATGCATATAGTAAAAACTTAAACAAGAGGGCCATGATGGCCCTAGATCGCTCACCTGATTTATCAAACTCATCCAAACAATTACCTAGACAAGCATTCTGACCAAGTCTCATGACAGGTGAGTCAAAAATGTGACCACTACAGTGTTAACAAGGATTATCCATATTTGAGCAGTGCGACCTAGTTTTTTACCCAGGTGACACATATTCAAACTTGACCTAGAAATCATCAAAACAAACTTTTAGACCAATTTCAAGGATACTTGGATCAAAACAGTAGCAACTAGAGTGTTAACAAGATTTTTCTATTTTTAGCTCCGGTGACCTAGTTCCACATGCGATTTCGAACTCATCCAAGCAATTACCTATACAAGCATCCTGACCAAGTTTGATGATAACTGAGTCGAAAATGTGACCACTAGAATGTTAACAAGGTTTTTCCATATTTGGGCGGTGTGACCTAGTTTTTTTCATCCAAGATGACCAATGTACGAACTTGACTTAGAAATCATCAAAACAAACTTTCAGACCAATTAACAGAATATTTGGATCACAACAGTAGCCACTAGAGTGTTTAACAAGATTTTTTCTATTTTTAGCTCCATGACCTACTTTTTCATCCGAGATGACCCATGTTCAATTTCTTCCCAGCAATGACCTAGACAAGTTTCCTGACCAAGTTTGATGACAAATGAGTCAAAATTGTGACCACTAGAGTGTTAACAAGGTTTTTCTATTTTTAGCTCCTGTGACCTAGTTTTTCATCCGAGATGACCCATGTTCGAACTCATCCGAGCTATCACCTAGACAAGCATCTTGATCAAGTTTGATGATGATTGATGCAAAAATGTGACACACTAGAGTGTTAACAAGGTTTTTCTATTTTTAGCTCCGGTGACCTAGTTTTTCATCCGAGATGACCCATGTTCACACTCATCCGAGCTATCAACTAGATAAGCATCCTGACCAAGTTTGATGATGATTGATGCAAAAATGTGACCCCTAGAGTGTTAACAAGGGTTTTTCTATTTTTAGCTCCGGTGACCTACTTTTTCATCCGAGATGACCCATGTTCGAACTCATCCGAGCTATCACCTAGACAAGCATCTTGACCAAGTTTGATGATGATTGATGCAAAAATGTGACCGCTAGAGTGTTAACAAGGTTTTTTCTATTTTTAGCTCCGGTGACCTACTTTTTCATCCGAGATGACCCATGTTCGAACTCATCCGAGCTATCAACTAGATAAGCATCCTGACCAAGTTTGATGATGATTGATGCAAAAATGTGACCGCTAGAGTGTTAACAAGGTTTTTTTTCTATTTTTAGCTCCGGTGACCTACTTTTCATCCGAGATGACCCATGTTCGAACTCATCCGAGCTATCACATAGACAAGCATCTTGACCAAGTTTGATGATGATTGATGCAAAAATGTGACCGCTAGAGTGTTAACAAGGTTTTTCTATTTTTAGCTCCGGTGACCTACTTTTTCATCCGAGATGACCCATGTTCGAACTCATCCCAGCTATCACCTAGACAAACATCCTGACCAAGTTTGATGATGATTGAGGCAAAAATGTGACCTCTAGAGTGTTAACAAGGTTTTTCTATTTTTAGCTCTTGTGACCTAGTTTCTCATCCGAGATGACCCATGTTCGAACTCATCCGAGCTATCAACTAGATAAGCATCCTGACCAAGTTTGATGATGATTGAGGCAAAAATGTGACCGCTAGAGTGTTAACAACTAAATGTGAACGGACGACGGACGGACGGACGACGGACGACGGACGACGGACAATCATCGATCCTAAAAGCTCACCCTGAGCATGCTCAGGTGAGCTAAAAAATCTTATTTTAAAGAACCCAAAGAGCTAGAGCTAAGATATTAAGCATGAAACATCTTCTAATGAGTGTCTACCAAGATTGTTCAAATAAAAGCCCTGGGGTCAAGATTTGCCCCACCCCAGGGGGTCATTGATTTTCCCTATATGCATATTGTAAAAACTTAAAAAATCTTCTTCTAAAAAACCCAAAGAGCTAGAGCTTAGATATTTGGCATGAAACATGTTCTAATGGATGTCTACCAAGTTTGTTCAAATTAAAGCCCTGGGGTCAAAATTGGCCCAGCCCCTGGGGGTCATTGATTTTCCCTATATGCATATAGGAAATTTTTTTTAAATTTTTCTTTTAAAGAACCCTAAAAGCTAGAGCTAAGATATTTAGCATGAAACATCTTCTAATGGGTGTCTACCAAGTTTGTTCAAATAAAAGCCCTGGGGTCAAAATTGGCCCAGCCCCAGGGGGTCATTGATTTTCCCTATATGCATATAGTAAAAACTTAAAAAAATTTCTTTTAAAAAACCCAAAGAGCTAGAGCTAAGATATTTAGCATGAAACATCTTCTAATGGGTGTCTACCAAGTTTGTTCAAATAAAAGCCCTTGGATCAAAATTGGCCCCGCCCCAGGGGGTCATTGATTTTCCCTATGTGCATATAGTAAAAACTTAAAAAATCTTCTTCTGAAAAACCCAAAGAGCTAGAGCTTAGATATTTGGCATGAAACATGTTCTAATTGATGTCTACCAACTTTGTTCAAATAAAAGCCCTGGGGTCAAAATTGGCCCCGCCCCAGGGGGTCATTGATTTTCCCTATATGCATATAGTAAAAACTTAAAAAAAATTCTTTTAAAGAACCCAAAGAGCTAGAGCTAAGATATTTAGCATGAAACATCTTCTAATGGGTGGCTACCAAGTTTGTTCAAATAAAAGCCCTGGGGTCAAAATTGGCCCCGCCCCAGGGGGTCATTGATTTTCCCTATACGCATAAAGTAAAAACTTAAAAAATTCTTCTTTTAAAGAACCCAAAGAGCTAGAGCTAAGATATTAAGCATGAAACATCTTCTAATGAGTGTCTACCAAGATTGTTCAAATAAAAGCCCTGGGGGTCAAAATTGGCCCCGCCCCAGGGGGTCATTGATTTTCCCTATATGCATATAGTAAAAAAATAAAAAAATCTTCTTCTAAAAAACCCAAAGAGCTAGAGCTTTGATATTTGGCATGAAACATGTTCTAATGGATGTCTACCAAGTTTGTTCAAATAATAGCCCTGGGGTCAAAATTGGCCCCGCCCGGGCTGACATTGATTTTCCTTATATGTGTATAGCAAAAACTTTAAAGTCTTCTTTGAAAAAACCCGAATAGCTAGAGTTTAGATATTAAGCATGAAACATCTTCTAGTAAGTGTCTACAAAGATTGTTCAAATAAAAGCCCTTGGGTCAAAACTGGCCCTGCCCCAGGTGTGTCATTGTTTTTAACTA